TAATTTGCGTTACATGGAGCAGAAAACCATTAAAACAAACCTCTCATGGTTAGCCTGACGGCAAGGGGACTCTAACCCATGAATCTTCTATCACTGAGGATATTTTATGCCAGCACTGTGATCGGTGCGAGCTGGGTGTTGGGTGCGGAAACTCGTATCAACCAGCCATCGCTGCCGATTCGAGACTTTCCAGTTTCATCAATATCGGCGTCTTTTTTCGGAATTGTCCCTAGAACGGAAGCCGATCCTTAATTTCTCCGCCAAACTTCTTCAGTTCTAAACGTTGGAGTATAAATTTTCGCTTTATATTTTCACTAATTACCGATTGCGCATCTATCAGTACTCGAATAAGCCTTTCGATTATATAATAAGCTCATCTTCTTAAATTTATAAGAATACTCATTAACTAAACTAGCTTCTTTTTAAATTACATTTCTTCAATATTTTCAGATGTTAACAATGAATTTGAAATTCCATCATTCAAAGTCAAAAGCAGTTCGTTTTTTTACTTAAGAAGTTCAAATATCGCCAAACATCCATATCCTCCGGTATGTCAACTTCTTGTTTTGCGGCTTCATCAATGACATTGTTCAGCCGAGAAAATGCAGCTCTCATAGACTTTCGATTCAATTTCAAAACTACTATAACTGTCAACAAGCAAACACTTCTTTAAAATATCAATAAAATTCAAAATGATTAACAACTATCACCAAAAGTCACTTGCCTTTCTGATTTCGTTTCATCAAATTTCAAAACACAAACTGTACTGCCGCGGACGCCATGTCACATATAATATGAAACAATCAGATTCTTTTACTGTTTGTTCTAAAGAAATATCCAAAAATTTAACTTTACAAAATGACTTTTACGAGTGAAAATTATTCGAACTGCTTATTCTATCAACTACTTTTATTTACAAGAATCTGTTTCCATCCAGAGTTGTTGAGTTGTTTTCTTTTTACTCGTATCACGAAAATAATTCTTACAATCATGTTATGTTGCGTCATTTTAAGCTGATGCCACAAACCTAAAAGCTGAAGGACATGATTGTCTAACGTTTTCTGTCCTATAGCGGTTAGCAAAAAATATTAATCTAATATATATAATTCTCTTACGTGGCTCCCAAATTTTAGGTGTATTTCTTTTCCGCTGGTGGCAACAGTTTTCATTTTTAAAGAAGTACTTTGTACAACTAAATAAGATTCTTTTCACAACAGTTAAATATTTACTTTATTTTCTTCATTCATAGAGAAAACAGTCGGCAAAGAATTCTGTTAGGTTAAAAAACATTTCGCTAAAAAAATAACGAATTCTAAAAGAAATAAAAATAAACAACTTAAAAAATAAAAATGCTGTTGCCAGCCATAGAATTTTTTGAAAGTTAACTTAGCAACATAAATCAAAATGACATAGAAGCGCAACTAGATCAAAATTATGATACCTGAGCGCTTGACGTAACAAATCCTTCAATTCTATGAATGTTGTATCGCCAAATGCCCAGATTAACAATTGTGTTTTTGTGTTTGCGTTTCCATAAAAAGTTTTAAATAAAAAAAACTTCTATCCAGCTACTTCTACAACTGCTTCTTGAAGAACTTGGCCCATTGATTAAAAATATTGTTTTAATTTTACAGTACTAATTTTACTTCTACTTACATTATTGCTATGACCCTATTTCATTACATTTTACAACTTCGTGCTAAATTTGAGGACTTTAAGTTGTTTTGTGGTGGAATACTGACATTTAGAAATGTGTACATAAAAAAATATTATTTAAAGGTTACGAGTTGCCTCAGAAAAATTTGAATTGTGGACACTGAATTTAATGATGGAAACAATCGTTTTTGTGAAAAATTGAATTGTATTGCTGATATCAAAACTAAAAATATTGTGTTTCAACTTAACAATACTACCTTAATTTATACTTTAGAATTGCCTCGGAGAAATTTGAATTGTTAGCAATGACTTAAACAAAAAGTTTTATTTTAACTGACAAATACTATATTATAATTTTAACTTTTTCTATGACTATACTCATTTTCTTACTCTTTTCTTTGTTTTTTATACATTTTATATTTTTGTGATAAAATAAAAAACTTATAGTTGTTCTGCTTCTGAACACTGATGAAAACACAAAATGATGGGCTTCATCAACAATCAAAAATATATACATTTATTTTACAAATTCCATATTATTAAGGTGGCGCCCTTCAGAGAATTAAAAATACAAAATTATCTTCATCGAAGCCAATGCTGAAATTTAGAATAGTGTGATTAAGCAAAATATGTTAACTGTTTGCAATTTTAAATTAATATTGAAATGTACAGGTTTAGAACTTTCTACAGTGAAAAGTCTTCGGAACTTCAGCATTCAAAAAAGTATACAAAAGCTAGACGTTAAGAACGTATCCAATGAGCGAGCAAAGCGAGCATTGGATTGCGAAGCAATCCGAAATGAACTGCGAAAGCAGTTCCAGGGCTTGGCGAGCACCAACGAGCAGGGGGTGAAGTCTCCTAGTAAATAAATAAATTAAATAACTATTCGCAAATGTCCTAGTAAAATACCTAATGTATCTAAATCTAAAAAATAAAAATAAAAAAAAAATACGGGAAGCAATAAAAGCATGCTGCTTTTAAATGACAGTTTTATACATAAACTCATGCTTACCATTCTTGAAAACATCAACAAGACACATAAAAAAATACCTATAACATTTTAAAACGCTTTCAGAGCTTGGCTCGCACGAGCAAGAATTAGACTAAGTCAGATTTTATATATTCATGTAAATAAATGACTTTCGCATATTTTGTCAATAATATTCGAAACTTGAACTAGAAACCCTAAATATAACAATATAAGTTACAGAAAGAGCAGAAATAATTTTAAAAGGCTATGATTTTTTTCTATAAGGTTGTAACATATTTCTTATTTTTATCTTTAATTTGATTCTTATTCAGTTACATGTTTAGTTTACATACTTTATTTAAGACATTGACTAAAATATTATTATTTTTTTAATACATAATACAAATACTAATAGTAATTTGATGAATATCATTAGTCAAATTGAGGGGGAAAATTTACTATCTGGTGCCATTCGTATTTTTTGTGATTTTTAATGTTTTTATTGAAAAGAAGGAAAAAGTATTTATAAGTGAGATAAGTGAGAAGAAATCGAGATAATAGGACAAGAAAAAAACTAACAAAGAGTGAAAGCTCCTAAGTATAGTACTTAATCCAAGGGGTACCGCATTCTGCACTCTACTAATTTCTGAGGTGATTATGTTTGTTGTCATAAAAATGTAGTTCTTGTAATTTCATCACCATGTTATTTCAGAGACAAATAATCATTACAATAAATTTTACCTGAACTGAATTAGATCTTAATATTCATAGACTAATATTTCATTAATCCTTCAACTATTTGCCTTGTAAGGGAATACTAGTCAAGAAAGCAATTAGCCTTTGTCGAAATCATGGTTTACTTTACTGTCCATTCAAAACCTAGATATAGAATTTACGCGATAAATCACCTGAAATTGTTCTGTGTCTGAGCGCTACTGTCAAACAAATAGAGTATGAAATGCGTTGTATATCGTAAGTATATCGTAGTATATCGTTGTAAATAGTATATTTATAGAGAGAGAAAGAGATAACATTAATTGCAACATTGCAACGCCTGTTATCTTAAAATTTTTATTATAACGTGATTAGCAATGCCTTCAGATTGTGTAATTTTCATTGATGTGATTTTCAGCATATAATTGATAGTTTGAAAAAAAAACAGTTTTTAAATGTAATTGGATTTTTAAGGAAAAGTAAAAAATTTTGATGCTAGTTTTTATTTTCATTTTAACCAAATAAATTAGCACAAAAATAATTTTAAAAAATTTGAAATTAATTTTTTCAAATTCAGAGTGTTTCATAATTATCGCATCATTTGATTACATCAGAAATAAAGTATCAAGTGTTCACAAAAATTTTTGAAATTGATATTTAAGTATAAAAAATTTTATTAATATTTCTCGAAACTTTGTTGAAGTCAATCATTTCAAAGGTGGACTAAAAACGTCAGAATAAGCTTAGCGGATAAGAGAGATCATTTAAAAATCCCATTTATTTTCTGATTAAGCTAGATTCTATGAATTTAATCTTTCCTTCATTACGATGAACCTCAATACTTTTAGGCCAATTCCGAAAAAGATTTTCCGGCGAAAGTGTAATTTGTGACGTTTAAAAGCCCTTATCAAGTCAAAAGAAGTGTACCAAATGATCTAATTTTTCTGGATATGCTTTTACCACACTGCTTTTTTTAAATTTTTTTTTTTTGAAATTTGACTGAAGTAAGATTTAAATTAGAAAAAAAACTTATTTATAACAAATGACATACGATTTTACAGATTAATAAAAAATAGTGGCAAAACTGTAGGTTTGCTACTTACTGCTTCAGAAACGAGATAAATTTTATTAGCAAAGTGAAAAAAATAGTAATTAAGTTGACCATTAGATGGCACTGTTGACTAAGAAAATTCAAAACAATAGTTTTAAAATAACCTTTATATGTAGCAGTGTGCTGTCTGAGGACAAACTTAATGGACGCCTGTGTAAATATTTCAGTTATTGCCATGCTATGATATACAGTGAAAATAATTGTTTCATAATTTTTTCTGTCAATCACGCAATCTATTGATAAATTTAGTAACTAAATTTAAAATTTATCACGAAAAAAAATTCTGGTTTTCTAAATAGAACTTAGCAAACTGTAAGCTTCAATCTATTTCCTTTAGTCTTTAATTAGTTTTTTAAATCGTCAGCCATTTTGTAGAAACAGAAATTTAACTATTTACTATTGAACAAGTTTGGCCAATGTAGCTAATATCCTTGCTAAATAAACACACTCATCAAAACTTACAATAATATTGTAAAATGTTATGTCTATAATCAATAACCATCATTTCTTTATTTTAACAATTTAAAAATTTATTGTTAAGAGTTATTCTTTTTATCTTTTCAGAATTTAACGCATTTATAAGATTTGTTGGAAAAAACACAAAGGAGCAAACCAGCAATATTTATGAATGGGTATTTACTTTAATACAATTTTCTAAACTATAACTAAAAGATTTATTTTTGAACAAAATAAATCCTAAATTTGATATTTTTCCTTAATTTTTTGTCACAAATAGTTGATATTTTTATGCCATTTAATCTCCTTCCACTGTTTTACTATTATAAATTTCATGCACAACACAATATTTTTATTTTGAATTTTTTTAATTTTCCATCGTAAAATCTGCATTATCATCTCGCTTATAAAACACTAATTGTATGTTAAAATTCTTTATTTGTTGCCATTTTAATTTAAATGGTAATTTGATAAATTATGCAGTTATTATTTGATAATAAAGAGAATTTTGAGCTAACAAGAAGGTATCCAATTTAGTTTACCATAATAGCTTCGTTAAGAGATACTGTTAATGAGTTTTAACATTTTTATTATTTTATTATTTGTATGTTTATGTTAATTATTTACTGCCTCTACGAACCGCCAATTGTTTCGCCCAAAAAAAATATATTAATAGTGCCCTTTGAATTACTATTTTTCTAAGTTTCTAAAAAAAGTTGTTTTGATTTTTAGTATTTTATTAACTAATATCTCACTATATAATATAACTGAATGTAAAAAAAATTGTGGTTTAAAAGGAAAAAAATAAAATATCATTTTTAACATTCTTAAAATATAATTAGAAGAAATTGTTTGATTGTCATACTATATACATTAATATATACATTACAGGTCATAAATATAAACAATACAGGGCATATATATGGCTCAACATTGTTTACACCTACGATACTGATCAAATAATTATGGTGAATTTATTTCTTTTCTCTAATTTCAAACTTGCAAAGGAATTTGGTGCTGATTTCTACTTTTCGAAAAAAATGACTTCTTTTTAAAGAGTTTTATGTTTTTTTTTCTATAGAATGCTTTTAATTCCATAGCAGAACCAAAATGTTTTTTTCTAGAATTTCATAACTGTGTTAAAAGGGGATTTCAACAAAATGTTAAGCTTCGTAGATAATGAACTAAATAAAGTTCTTGCGTAGCGTCTGGACAAGAAAGTATATCCTGATAGAAAAATTATCTCGTTGCACTGATTTTCTCTGTAAATATAAGTTTTTTTCCATTTAAAAAAGTTGAATCATTGCTGAGAAGAATCATTTGTCATAATCCAAGCAACAGAAGTGAAGAACATTTATGCTCAATTGATCACATACTCAGTATCCAGAAATAGATCAATGATCTTAAACATCCTTGTCAAATCATAGATTGAATCATAATCGAAGTGTATGCTTTGTTGTGTTCTGTTTAGGAAACAAGAAATTCTACTCAGAAAATTCCAAAAGCAGTCCCAAAATTCTTCACAATATAGCGTTGTTGATTTAGAGAAACTATAAGACATTGATTCAAAATAGCCTCCATTTCCTGTAGCAACGTGACACCTTTGCAAAAATTTCAGTTGGAATATTTTAAAATATAGCACGGCAATCTGATATAAAAATCTTTTTACAGTCAGCATCAGCATGAATTTTGAAGCTAATTTTTAATTTTGGAGTGAAGAAACCTCGTTTTCTATTTGGATTGCTGCCAACCGTACCTTTCTATCACTTTCCCTTTTTTAAATAATTTTTAAAATCATCGGTAATTTTGAGGATACAAAACTGTTAACAGAGCACACTCTAAAAAATCAATAAAAAAATCCTCTTTTTTGACTTTCGTAGCTAAATTATTGATAAAAACTCGATATATTATTATTTATCTAGTAATGGATGATAACATGCTAAAAATGATGGACGAATACACCTTTCGAATAATCTAGGCTTTTTGTATTAATTTATTTTATGGTTTATTCCATATCCGTTGGGTCATTTCATAAAAAGTAAAGGACCTCCATTTATAAAATAAATAGCTAAAATATGGACGATTATCTTTCTTTCAGCAGTTTACGAGTTGCGATCTGTCTTGTAGATCTAGTTTCGTGTTTATACTTTTCTGCGCCAAAATTCTGATAAAAAACTAGCCATAAAAATATGTTTCTAGGATATCCAAAAAGATTAATGTTTTCCCTGGTGTTTAATCTGTTAAGCGATTCTTTTCTCGCACGTAGAAGAACTGTAACTCCCATTAGCAAAAAGTTTCAATAAGAAGGATAATAATGGAACTATTTTGTACACTTTTGTGAACTAAAACAATTCTTTACAAAAGAAATAAATTGGAGTGAGGCAGACCCATATTAAAAGTTTATCCTGTTCTATTATTGTGAAAGACATCAAAATGTGTGTATTATCACTTTGCAAACTAAAAAAATTGTTTTAATAAAATTAATTGATATAAGGTAAACGCTACGATAAAAAGAGTTACATCAAATATTATGGCAAGTGTTGTTATGATCTAAAATTAAATTCTTATAAACCGTATCGGAGTGTAGTTAGGTATTAAAATTGAAAATAGTTCATTTTTTTATTTGTGATTTACTTGTTTTGTAATTTCTAAACAGTTTTATTAAGGAAATGAGTTGTTGCATAGAGGGTACGTGTTAAAGTTGAAACTAGTCTTTTGATTTTTGCAAGTAACACCAAACTTCGCGCATGTATTTTTATGACCTGAGAAGATGATTCTCAGAAAGCAAATTAGAGTGTAGTGGGTTTATGGTTTAGAAATTAGAATAAAAATAATTGTTCAGAAATAAGAAGGTTTAAACCTCGAGATCTCCGGTAATTTCTGTGGATTTGCTTTCTATTAAATTTAAAATTGATTCTGTTATTCTCGAATCATTTTTGATCATAAAAAGCATCTTATTAAAAAAGGTTTTTATAAAGGAAACTGCAGATTCAAAACTAAATATTTTAGGGAAAAAATCTATTATATTTTCTTGGAATTTAAGTAGGGAAAAAATTAATTCTTACAAGTGAGTATCTCATAGTCTATAAATATTTTTTCAGATGGCGAAGGAATTTTTTGTGCGTTTAGAGACGAATTTTTCTTCGAATATTGTTCTTCGAAAATTCGTCAAATTAAATTACGCTTTTTTAAAGAGCTACGTACTAATTTTATAATTGTTGTGATTTCGTATCAGTTATCTATAAATGTTTGATTAAGTTTTGTCTATATTTATCCAGTTCTTCTATTCTGATTATGAAAATAGCGGAAATATTCAGAAAAGTAACTTTTTTTACAAAATGTTATAATTTTTCTGTGCTGTAGTTCTGTGATATAATTTTTTAATAATAGAATAGCTACTTCACCACAGTATTGTTGAGGCTCATAAAATTATGCCAAAATCGACAGTCGTTTGTTGATCTAGTTGATACTTATCTAACTCGCCAAATTGGCGATAAATTAAAAAAGTGCATTTAATTACTTTGTTTAAACTTAAAGTGACATTTTACTTACTTAACTATGCTTCTTTTATTTTGCTCCGCAAAAAAAGACGATCTAAAGCATGTTGAAATGGCACAACTCATAGAGTGATTGTTCCTAAAGCAAGAGATTCAGGTACGCATCCCTGAGACAGCCGGTCAATTCAATCGCGTTCCCTTGCCGTTAGACTATTTATGGGAGTTTTTAGTGCTTTTCCCCAACAAAAAACTCAAACACAGGTCAGTTTCTCTCAGAAAGTAAATCACAAATGGAAGTTTGTCCCAATGCTTGATCTAAATATTCTTTTGTTTTTTGGGTAGAGTTCAAAATTACAAAGCTTTGAAGTTGAAGTTTTATATAAAAGCAAATCCGATATGAATTTCTTATAACAAAGTACACAAGTGAGCGCTTACAACTGTACAATCAATTTATTAAAAATATGAAAAACTAAAGTTATTTTAAGTCTTTCTTAGAATTTCTTTAATCAATATCTTTAATTTCAGCAAAATTACTTTCATCTAATCAATTTTTATTAGCTTAAACATTAATAGATATTTGCTAATATATTCCTTTTCATTTTTCGAATTTTTAAGAAATTGTCCGTTTCAATAAAAATTTAAAAGCTTTCATAGGAATTCCTCAATCTTTCAAATTAGAATGAAGATTTCTATTTGAAATGTATGAAAAAGGAAACGATGAATAATTCTTCATAAAGCATAGTCGCGATGAATATTAATGAAGACAACATCACATTAACTAAAGCTTATGAATGTAATAGGATTAAGAACGAAGAAGAATTCTTGAGTTATATCTTGTTTGACGTAATACCTTTTAATAGATATTTCAAGAAGCTAAAGATAGATACTGTTACTTAAAATGATTAATGGAATTCATTAGAAAGACTTTATAATAACTATTTCAAAAATAATTGATTTACTTTCTAAATACATTATAAAAGAATTCTAATGAATTTAACATAATGTTATTTTAATTTAGTTACATCAAGCTCAATTCCTGTGTTGATTTCTTGAATAATTATAAATTAAATATTTGTTTCTCATAATTTAATTGATTGGAATTAGAAATGGAAAGTTTTATTTAATTACGTTACCTTTTTTAACGTATTTAAAAACAGATTTATAAAGTGTGTTTTTAGCTTCGTTTCTTTGTTCGAGATAAAAACATGGTAAATATTTAATGGTAAAATGGTAAATATTTAATGAATTGGTATTAATTAATACATCTTGATAGTGTATAAACTGAAAGACCAATATGGGATCAGTTATATTTAATATAATTTATTTTCTTTTTATTATTGTTGTTTGTTGCCCTACCTGGTAACTTTACATTATTAGATTGAGCAATACACATTTTTATTACATACAACTCATCAAAAAGTACATACAACTCTTCAAAAGAGTTAATAATTTTACTCGAACTTATTTAAAGATGAATTTAAAAAATTGATGAACTGGTATGGATAATGATACCAACACTTGATAGTCAAGATTCACAAAAGATAATGATACCAACACTTGATAAACCAAATTCACTGGTGCAATGGAACTTCAGGACATAACTTTTTTTATCTAATGTCAATTAATATTTACTTTTTCTTAGTTACGTTTAAAGAAACACGTTTCAAAAACGTAACTGT